CAGTACCTACTTGTTTTGTAATGTGAATGTACGGACTTACTTTTAGCAGCCCATGTACGTCCACTGCTGAATACAGGCAGCACGGCACTTGACTCATTCTTAAATTTCTCACTATTCAAAAGTTTATTTACATCAATAAATCTTCTATCTTAAAAAATAAACCTAATAAGAACACAGAAGTTTAAATATTTATATAGTTGTTTTTAAAATTTATCTCCAAAATAAAATATCTCATGGAATTTAAACACTACTAAAAAGTGCATAATATTTAATATCTATCTAAATGTTATCCACTTAATATTATGTAGGTTTATCCAATTGTATACGTAAATTTCTTAAGAATGCTTTAGTTGTCGACAGTCTTTATCGGAAACCCATTGACAGCACCAGCACCATCTTCTGTTTTGTTTAGCAAGTGCAGCTTCACACTGATCCAGCCATCGTTCAACTCTGGCTTTCGTTACTGCGTCACACACACTGCCTGGATTTGGTGTTTCAGAATCAATTGAGCTCTCGGAGTCTGTGATGGATACATATTCTTGAATTTCTTCTCGCATGGCAACGCCCGGTTGTCCTCGTGAGGTCCCGGGCTGCGGTACCGAGATATCAAGTTTAGAAACACAGACTGAACTATCAAAGAAATTGGCTGCACTGCCCCTATATTCTAATGATTCTTCAAAAGTTTCAGAAATAGAGTCTTGTGAAGAATCTGATTGTCGAGTTAATTGCGATTCTATATTGACACTGTAGCGGTTTATGAAGTACTCAGCTCTTTGTCAAATACTACATTCTTGAATGTAATAATTTAATTGTAAGCATGACTTTACAAAACCCTCATCAGACAATACTTTGGCTAGTTGACGGATTATGGCAAATAGTTTACCTTCTGGGAAATTTAATTGTCTATTACAAATATCTATGCATTTTTTTATTTGACCATTTATCTTAAATGAATCTAAAAATCGTTTAAACAGAATTTTTTTTCGTATTTTCTTGATGATATCATTTTTCTGATCATAGTAAAAAATGGTGAACTTAGATTTTCTAAAAATTGGATTTAAACAAAAGTTTATGCCAGCCAAAGTTAAGCCGGTATGAGAGCGACGTACCAGACTTTTAAATTTATAAATTATATTTCTCTTTTCAGAGAATGTAATGCCATTGCAATAAGGCCTATCTACATATATCAGTGCGTTCATTATTTTTATAATACTTTGCTTAGTTTCTTCTTCATGCCAAACAACATAGTTTTTATTTGATTTGCTAAAAGTGTACTCATAGACTTTTTGAACTCCTTGTTCAGTGACTTGATTGAACCGTCCTGTATGCGGATGCTGTTCATCTACCATCACAGTGATGATACGAGCTACGTGATACCCGGGATCTCCTAATAAAAGTCCCGGCCTTTTGTGAATTGTAATCTGAACACCGGCCATTAAGTGCTCTTTATCCGGGACTAAGAGTTGATGTGGTCCGGTTGTTCCCTCAGCATCAGCGAGAACACCGGGTGCAGACTCCTCACAGGATAGTGGTGCCATTGCCCAAACCAATTCAGGAAACGTAAATGATAAACATCGCCACCGGCGAAGGAGTTCAAGAGTCAAGCCGACACAAGTACTACTGGACCGGTAAATAACTGGCGTGAAACTCTGATACACCTCATACAATGAGCTATTTGTATTGGTGTTTTGTGAAAAATTATGAAATTCCAAGAAGTTGCTTATGGAATCATAACTTAGACTAATTAATAGTCTGCGGAGAATATTCTCCATTGACGCCACAAGTTCTAAGTAGGTATCATTATTTAATTCTATTGGTTTTATTTGGGGCCCCCATTGACATTTCGGTAATGGTCGATTTACTCTAGAGTTTGTCCAGTTTATCATTTCAGCGAATTTTTCGTTAGGGACAGCTGGAGAGCCAGGAGCCGATATTAGTTGTTGGTAGTAGTCGCCCGCCATCTTGAAACAAAAAATCCAGTTAATTCAATAAAAAGAAAGAAAAAGGTTTTTGGTTTTTATATATTTACATAATTACACAAAATAAAAATCGTTTGATACACAGGATGTTATGGAATTCGTGAGCAATAATTGTCGAAGTTTTTAGATTCTACTACCGATACTAAGTTTTACGGGCATTAAACCTACTATTACGCAGATTAAAGTATGAAAAATATATTTAGTTTGTAGATCTTGCAGTTTGAAAAACTTTCTTGTACACTACGTGTACCTAGTGTAGGTTAATGTTACTGTGAGATTCCGAGAACGCAATGTGCAATGATAGAAGCTTCGCCGTTGATACGACACACAATTTATGTGTCAGTCATATTTTGCAAAACTGGCCCTTATAACGAGAATATTTAAAGATGTTATGGCGTACGCAAAATTCAAGCTTAGCTTAAAACAAATGTATTTACATTGTAATGTTGCTAGAGTATGTTGGAAGATAAACAGGTTACTACATATTTAATTACTTATACGTAAGTGTATTTAGTAATTATTTTCATTTATATCTTTGGACAGGTACATCTCACTATATATTATATTGATTAATTGCTTTCAAAATAAAATTAAATTGAAGTTATAAAATAACTAAATGGACCACTAATTGAACAACCTTGTTGTAATTTAAAAGCATTTTATTAATTCAGTGTAGTAAGTATATATCTATGTTGTGTTTTAGATTAATAATTTTTTTCAGTATTAGTATATTTTTGTATTGAAAAGGTAAAGTTCCTCAGGCCAAGAGTAACATAAAACAGTTAACAATAAATAAATAAAAAATAGCATTATTTAGTGTACCTACAACTATTTTGCTTTTTGTTTTCAAGTAGGCACTAAATCGTACTTGTAGACATTTTGATTTTTATTCAAACATGGATATTTTAGTTTGTTTTATGTATAATCTGAATGATTAAAATTAAACGATACTTTATTATATTAATTGGATAAGGTGTATATTAATTTAATTATGATGTCCTTACATAAAGTGTATTGTTTCAAATATTTCAAGGATGAAAAATATCTAATAATTTTGAGGATTTCTCACAAAAAAAATATGGTAAAAAATCACAAAAAAAATAATGTTTCAGTTCTTAATCAGATCAAAGTAACGTACCGTACGTTCGTAAGTTAAGTTAGAGAAATAATCTATAGCCAAGTAAAATAGATTTTCAGATGTACCCAAATAATATTCAATAATGTTGAAACAACATGACATCGGAAATATGAGAAAATTAAATTAAGAAAAATAAGTAAGAAAAGTGATTTCTGTTTTCCATGAAAGTATGTAGGTGCGCAAATACAAACATCGATATTTTGTTACCTGTAACTACTTAGTAATAAATATAGCAGGATCCCAGAAATACTCCCACGATGATGAAGTGGCAGGGGCAGGGTTGGAAGCTCTCCGATACTTGTTACACGTACAAAATAGTACCTACATTAGCATTGCCAATGAATGAATGAAAATTAGTGACGATGACGTTAACTTCGGTTTAAGAAGTGCGTGGAAAACTTTACAAAATAATGCATTGCAGGATCAAATTCGCATTGTGCTTGCTATGAAACTGCGTGGGCAATAATCGCCAGCTTCACTATAGCTACTGAGTACCTGTTCATAAAGAACGGTTCTGCTCATGAGGGCTTCTTACTGTCGCTGGCAAGACCCTCAAGTGACTTCAGCCTACACTGCAGCCCCGGCTTGAAGGCAAATGTTATTCTACATTGACAGTAGAACTTTCCCAGAATCGCGAACCCCAGGGTCGGTATATTTACTGTGGTATATGTATGTTCTGTTTCTTCTCTGGCTCTAAGCTGCCTATATGCAACGCTCTGCACCATCCCGCAACTGCAGAACTCTGATGAGAGAACTCCTTAGATTTGCCTAAAAAAATATTCGGCGGTAACACAAGGTTGTTGATGAACTTTCATTATGATCGAAGTGAGTATACATTTTTAGCGAATCCTGCACTAATTTGTCCTATCTTATTGACGTATTTATTGATACAAGCATTGTGTAACAAACATATTATTTTTATTTGTCCTTCTTTAACACCTTTATTTTATTATTTATTATTTCATTCACTTTGTCAAAACCGTAATACTTTTGACTATTCCTAACTCATTACCTATAGGCAACCTACTCACGTATTTTATTTTATATAGCATTAAGTAATAAAATTCTCATATAAAAAATGGGAACAAAATTGAACCTAAAACAAAAAATGTTATTTTCATGTGATCCAAATAGTCAATCAATATTAAACCGTACCTCCGTTTAACCTAAAGCGACACTCCATAGTTACAATATTGAACTACCAGTTCAACCAGAAATTTGGACCTTTTCAGTCGTCACGACTTTATCCAGTAATTCCTGTATTGACAGAAAAGGCGCATACATGTTTGCGCAGAAGGCGAAATGACTCCCATTCATAGCGCACTAGATTCGCAAACGTGTCAAGGGGCCCATTGTGCTCGCGCCAGACACTTATCTACCTTTACGAACACGTGTGCGACTCACCTATTTTTAATCCAAAGACCTTTTTATCATAATTGTAACTGAATTTTTATTGCATATTCCAAATATACATACATAGTAAAGTATATAAAGAAAGTTGTATAAAAAGTTAATGGAAAGTATCGCGTTGATGTTGAATGTGTAATCTTTATGTACCTACCTATATCTATTTAGGTATGTCAAATGTCTTACGGGATGGACTTGTGAATATGATAATAAGATGTAGCTAGCTCCTATTAAACCGAAAGTCATAGGCTATCTTATCGTAATTGGGTCTGTAATTGCGGCTGCGGCATAAGCCGTGACGCGCGAGACAGGAATGCGCAAATCATAACACGCGGCGTGTGAACCGACCCAATGGCAAAGTCAGATAGTCTGAGCTTCTAGCGACAAAAGCCTGATATCAGGCCATTGACTAACTTTTAAGAATTGAGCAGATAACAGTTTTTAATTAATTAATAATTACGCTTACACTCATTTACTCAGTAAATCTAAATATATATAATATTTAAATATATCGTGACAAGAATTTTATTTTATACGGTATAGCAGCTAACGTAACTGAAATTGTTGAAGTCTTTACATATATTATACACAACAATAAAACGATAGAGTCGGGCCGTTCCCGCGCCATAACCGCACGGGCGGGTTCTTCAAATAATTCATTTACAGCAGTGTGCCCCTGATGAAAAAGCGCTGTGCAGCGGAGCGGGCTCCGTGAGCATGTAGGCCACCTAGTTTGGCAGCCCCTCCCTACTGGCCCCAACCCTGCCCCCTTCGGAGCAGCACGTAGCCCACCCCAAGGCATCCCGTGCCCCCGCGACCTATTTATTTCCTGCTTTACGTGAGGCGTTCGAGCCCATCCTTTGTGAGCCGCATCTTGAGCGAATTATTGGATTCTTAGAAATTCTTCAATTGTAAATTTAGTACATTTTGTATATAGACAAAAACCTCCCAAGTAGCTGTCTAATTAGGCACTGCTTCTATATTCTTTGTACATATGTTTTGCGATCTAAAAAATCTACAGTGGTCGTCAAAATATCATGTATGCTTGTGGTTCAAAGTATCGAGAAGGGAAAGTAAAATAGATAAACGTTGGAATTTCGTCCGCAATAGAAACAGAAACTTTCTCCTTCATGTGTTCACTAGAGATTACAACTTTGATATAACTATTGACCTCCTTGCCGTGAACAATGGATCGCTCTGCAGCCTATGAACCTGTTGTCAAAGCTAAATACTTTAGTGCTTACTAACTGCACCTCCAAGTTCATTACAAATTCCATTGAAGTGGAAATAGTATTGTAATTTTGTCGCAAATTGCAACTTGTACGGACCTCATAAAACTCACCATGGTACACACGGCTCGCGCACTTGTCCAACTAATTCATTGGATGTAATGTGTAATGATAATATTAACTAAGCATCCATATCGATTTGTAAAAGGTTTATTAAATAATTCGTTGTTATTTATTTAACTTCTGTTCGTACTTTACTTGTGAATTTCTTATATAAGACTCTGATATACCTATATTTGGTTGGCTGACACTGTGTCATAGGAGAATGAAGTTCTCTTCGTATTTTCATTTCGTTATTTCAAAAACGATGATCACAAATAAGAAGTTACTATTTGATATACGGATAATTTATAACAAGGACTTAACCAAAAAAAGGTTTAGGTCCATCAATAATTCTATATATGTTATGTTTGATTTGCTCTATGTGGGCCAAAGTTGGAAATCAGTTCACTCACAAGTGATTATTTTGAATAAGATTTTTTAAATATAAGTATAATGTATTACAATGTATTGTGTAAAACCTACCTCTTTGGTATTTTTTTCATCTTCCTCGTTTAATACTAAGTCCACATTTCCTTTCGATTCTTGACTTGCCGTTGATTCGATAAGTTTTTCGAGCAAAATCTGTGGTTCCTCATCCAGGGGCTCGTCACTCTGAAGTAAATAAACAAATATTGTGAATATCTTAACCTATAAATTTGTATTCTGTTTGTATGGCTGTCACGCAATATGAAAGCTAAATACTTACGTATTTTAAGTCGGTTATTGCATCAGGTGCTTTGCTCGCTGCATCTTTCTGCTTGAGGCGGCTTGGCTAAATAAGAAAATATAATCAATTAACGTTTTTACAAAACTTCTGATTTTACATTGCTTGCTACAGATGGATAAATGTACCTACCCCTGCAACACTGTCATCGACTTGAGACGTTTCGTGTTCCGCCGTTTCGACTTCAGCTGTTTTGGCTTCAGCCGCTTCGATTTCTGCCGTCTCTACTTCAGCCGTTTTCACTTCAGCTATGTTGACTCTAGCTATCTCGATTTCAGCTGTCTAAATTATAAAAAATATTGAACAACAAATTATTTCAACGATGTAAGATTTCTTGCATAGAATAATGTCGTAGACAAACATTACTTTTCAAGCCTTTCACATCTGACAAACTATCACCAATGGTCTGGCAGTCCCTTCCCTTCCCTCCCTCAATTATCTTCAGAGATATTCTGATTGCTTAGTCATTGGTTTGTATGGTAACATCATTATGGAATGACCAAGTGACATTATGTTTCTGAATTACCTCAGGTTCAGTATCCGAAAAGTCATCGTCGCTAGTTTGCTGTTCGGCGCGCTCAATATCTTGTTGGACCAATTTGTCCGCACTTTTAGCAGCATCTACGAAGACGTCTGGGTTAAACGCTCCTTCATATTGAACCTGTATCAAATAATTATATCTAAGTATGTTGAACAATTAGAGATGCATTTAGAGAGCTTGACTTAACGAATCTGATCCGTTAGAGAGCCATGCTTCCGTTGATCAGATGAACTAAAGTGATAGCACAGCTTCTCAGAAAACAGGACTAAAAGAAAGCAAACGTTGTCTACGTGTCCAGGCGGTTACCAGATGCCGAATAAACCGCAACCCAGGCCAAAAACGAACAATCGCCAATTACTTTAATTCAGGTGAAAAGGCTGAGTTAATAGTGCTGTATATTATTTCTCTACTATTATTCTACCAGGAAGTCTAAGGTACGGGACTGCTTTTTTTTTTAATCTAATAGCTCGGCAAACGAGCCGACGGATTACCTGATGGTAAGCAATCAGCGCCGCCCATGGACACCCGCAACGGAGGTGTTACGAGTACGTTGCCGATCTTTTAGGGATTAGGGATTTGGAGATTTAGGGATTGAGGGAGGGGAAGGATTGGGCCTCCGGTAACCTCACTCTCACGGCGAAACACAACGCTGTGGTTGTTTCACGCCCGTTTTCTGTGAGGCCGTGGTATCACTGCGGTCGAGCCGACCCATTCGTGCCGAAGCATGGCTCTCCCACACATAAAAAAAACGTTTGCTTCCGTAAAACGGGTTGAATAGAATTTGAGGGGTGAATAAATACACGAAAGGGGTGTATTGGCAAATTTTCCTAGTATCTATTCAACCCCCTTCTGTGTCTACTCATCCCTCGAATTCTATTCACCCCGTTTAACCATTAATAAAGTTAGTACTTATAACTCTTACCATTTGGTTTTTTGATGATATAAGAAAGTAGGGTGCTCTAATATGTACATAAAAGTGCATATTGTTTGCTAGATTAGATCGCGGTTATCCTCAGGTACACGGCGAAACCCCAGAATCGTTGTTTAACGCTGAATTTTTATAAGGTCTTGGTAACATCATTGGTGTTATAGCATGGCTTTCCTCCACTGCTACATTATAGTTTTACTAATTGTCTCAACCCTGAACATTTTGACCGGACTAATGAGAAAATTTTATATTCTAACAAGTCCAAACAATAAATAAATAAATAAGGATGAAAATGACAACATGGTTGACGTTCACTAAGCGAAAGTATTAAAGTATGATAAGTGTATGTTCATCGAAATAAAAATTGATTTGAACAAATTGACTATGGGGTAGCTAAGACCGAGCGTATTGAATTTTCAATCTCGATAGCCGTGTGTAGTCAATCGGTTGGAAAATTCACTTTCACACTGAACTCATATTAGTTAAGTATCGTAAAAGCTTCGAGCTGTTCGTTCGATACTTAATTTGACGCTTAGTAAATACGGAACCCAGTTGAATGATTTAATTTTTTCTAACATTTAGTAGCTGTGGCGTCAATGTTTTCAAAGTTAGGGTCATTTTCTTCTAAGGTTTCGATTAGAACTAAAATTATATATTATGCGAGTTTGTTGGTCAACTCTATAGGTACCTAATCGTTTACCTGATACTAGTGGAAAAAATTAAAACTGAAAAATTCTGTAAAATAGGACTACTCGAGACCACTGGCTCAGATGAAAATGAATATATTTATATTATCCTTTGTTTATTGACAATAATAAATAATTCAAACTTAGTAAGTACTAGGTACTACTAACATATTCAAGATTACGTACACAGTAGATACGTATTTGCTGAACCAATGGCTCCTACGATGAAAATACATTAATATTTTGTGTCTTCTTATTTGCTATCGGTGCAAGGAACAACACTATCTATACCAAGTATATTAAGATTCATTTTTAAATAGAAAATTTCTCAGCGTCCTATATTCAAATGGTATAGAATTTTAATGAATCAATTGTGGAGTCGTACGGCGCTGCATTCGTTGGAAGAAAATTCAATCAGCCTGACCTATATTTCTTCTAAGTACTTAATCTATACGTCTTTCTACTTTTAACTTTTTATTTTTTTATCCTTTCTGTAGATTAATCACCATTGCAATTATTATAGTTAATCACCATTGCAATTATTGCAATAATAATTATAATAGCATTTATTATAGGTTCAGGTTAGGTAGAATTTATGAAACATTCTAATATGAAATGAGCATTATTTAGTTTTTAGTGAACTAATTTCATTTTCGATTTTTCAAATTACTGTCCAAATTATCATTCTGCAATCAACTATTTTCCACCAAAGAAGGGAATGTTATAAACATTTTCTAGTGATATGTACTAACTAGTCTGTTTATAAAAGCAGTTATGTTTTAATTATATTACATACAGTAATAATAAGTACAAACTTTTTAACAAGTTATGAGTCAAGTTAGAAATATCTATTCGACTTAGGAATTTTCAGTAGATTTAAGATCTTCATAGTTGTAGTAGTATTTATCTATACAAATATTATAAAGAGGAAAGGTTTGATTTTTTGTTTGTTTGTTTGTTTGTATGAATTGAATAGGCTCCGAAACTACTTGGCAGATTTGAAAAATTCTTTCACTGTTGGCAAGCTATATCATTCCCGAGTGGCATAGGCTATATTTCATTTTCAAAAAAATTAGGCATTCTTACTAAAATTACGATAACGTAATCCAAGGTGTGAAAAAAATATCAAAAAACTACCTTACATCGCGTGCGCTGCGAAAACTATTGATGATAGAACAAAATGATATACTACATTTTTTTAGAACACACCAATATCTACAAAAAATCAGCGGCAGCATATCTCTGACTATTATAGTCATGTCACAATAAGCGTTTTTAATTGAAAAAAAGAAATTAAAATACCACCGCTACAAAAAGCTCTTTAATTTATACCTTGGTATTAACCTTTATCAAAATAAATGATGTATTATTTAAGACTGCTTCAATATCTTTATATTACTTTTTGAATCATTTGATTCTGACAATCCATTCAAAAGATATCACGAGTTAAAAAAAATTAAAAATAAACTGTATTCGGCTAGCTATGCGTTGTAGGCGTCACTCGGGCAGGGGTACGGGAGGGGTACGGGGTTAAGATCACAAAAAAATACACATAAATACAAAAAAAAAACATTAAATAATATCTGAATTTAATTATTCTTATTTTTTTTTTATTTACTCTTTTTTAGGAGCTCGACGCAAAAAGGGATGAATATTATGTGTCATATTATTATTATTATAAATGTGTTAAAATTAACAAATCTAAATGTAATGTTTAATGCCCGTGCGAAGCCGGGACGGGCCGCTAGTTTATTATATTAGCATTTTAGCTATTGTTTATCTATTAGACATTCAACTTACCTTATCGCCTGGAATATTATACGTCACAATAGGGGGTTGTATACTTTCTTCTTCGCAGGGACAAATGCTCAGCTGTAACAAAGAAAACCACGATACTTCTAGTGTACCTAATAACTATTATACCATTTTTATTAATGTGTAGGTACTACCTACATACAGATACATATTTTATGTAAAGAGCAATCGTAGGATTTGAACCCACACGGAGTCCCGACTGACTTTTAAGCTACAAGGTCTAAAAATTTCAGTAATATCTCAATGAATATTATAATTTTCATAATCAGTAGTAATAAGTATACGAGTACATTGTATTAGTTACAGTTATATCATGATTATTATGTGCATACCGGGCATTTTCATAAATCCCTATTAGGGGATCGTGAGACTCTGGTATCGAACCGGAGACTCTTCGGTCGAGCGTTCGAACAACTTGTTCATAGAATGCGCTCTGTAATGTACTGTTAGCGTAGCATGTGCATTGCGCAGACTGCATTAACTTGGTTTCAAGTAACGTCAACAAACTTTTACTTTTGCACTCGCGGGTGCTTATTTAATTCTAACTACAGCAGAGTTCGTGTTGTAACAGTACTAATTGCCGTTTTATAACTATGGGTTGTTTATAAGCAATTAGCATGGAGGAATACTAATTCGATAAAGCAGCTATATCGTATTAATTAGGTCCGCTTTGTGTTCTATAAAGTATGTCGCATGATAACGTGACCCCACTGACTCGCGCTAGGCCGAACCAATTCTGTGCGTTAACCGTTTTCGGTGCGAGCCGAATTATCGACGACTTCTGCTAACATAGCGGACAAATGCCGCATAAACCATTGCAGCGTTGCCATAGAGATACCATTTCTTTCGGGCCCATTGGGACTCTAAGGGTCTTTTTCCCATGACTCGCGTGCCACTTTCGGTTACGACGTTTTGACTTTAAAGAACGAAGAGGCGGAGAAGTGCCAAGTGCGCGGGGCGAGGGGGGCCTTAGACGCGCATACGTATAGAGTATAGAGTATAGAACACAATGCGGCATCGCTCTGCGTCGACGTGGTCTGCGCGCCAGCGTAGTAGCCGCCGCGGCTGTCATAAATATACTTAACATGGCAGTCGGTGCTGGCATAACACAGCCGACCGAAGCACGAGACGCCGTCCCCAGGTGAGTGCCGCTTCGCGTCCACATCAACTTCCCTTTACTTTTATCGGCGATTTTCTTTTTAATTTTGGCGTATTTCTTTGCTAGCGAAATTTCACAGTAACTTCTATTCGTGTTATTGAATCGTTGTTATCGTTTGTTCTTATCAAATGCCGCGTGTATACTCGAGTTTTTAAATTTCTTTAATTTACTTTTCTTAAACTTTTTTTATTGGTAATTTTAAATTTGTTTTCGCGTGAGTAACGGTTGGTGAGCTGAGTTTTGTAGCGTTAACGTGTCGTAGATAGTAGGGCAGTATTTATGTACGCAGAAGACACGTTCTGTTTATTATGGCGCCGCGGCGGTCGGCGGGCGGCCAGCGAGTTGCTCACCGCGCGCCGCGTCATGTGCCGCTCTATCCGAGTGCGCGCTTATCATTGTGTTCCGCATATCGTTACACCGTTATCACTGGCGGCTCGTGGTGGCGTGTTCAAGGCATTTTCAGTACCTACGTTGTCGCCTATCCAATATTTGTTTAACACGATTTACGCGGCGCCCACCAATCTTGTTGAGCGTACCAGCGTACACAAATTTTGGTTTGCGACTTGAGCGCAACGGAAAGTAGTCAAAGGTAGAACAAAGAAAACAAAATAATTCCGAGACATTGTGTAACGCATGACATGTAACACGAACCAGTACGGAATGCATTGTTTGATAATAATATGAATGGGCCGCGTGTTAGTATGGATCTCAATGCTCCACAATTATAAATAATGTTCAATGTATGCTCAACACGCTGAACATAAATTGACGTTCGTTTGTCTATCATTAGCACGAAGCGTTGCTTTGTGTCTATTGACTTCAATTTGTCAAGTAGTTGGAGCTGTAACTATCTACCTACTACGTAAACTCGTTATTAGGTACGCAGGTATAAACACAATTATTGCAGAAATATGAATTTGAACATAACGGCTCTTTTTGCTATGCTTTACTTTTTCTTTTCACGAAAATGTCCTAGGTTGAAATCAACAATATTTATGTATTTCATGTTGCATAAAAATGATACACAATGAGTATCTAAAATGGTTCTAAGTGACCGGGTAGTCTAATATTAGTCTGCAAGTACTAAATTGTCTTGTCTGGCTATGGCTTCCAGATCCACAATGCTTGCTACAGCAGAATTGCGATTTTAAATCTTATTTGCACAAGCATTTGGTAGTAAATTGTATTATGTTTTATTTCTGAATGTCATAACTGGCATTGATTGAAGAAAAAGTATTGAGTTGGTAAATACTAAACTAATCTTATTTGTCATTCAATGCTCGAAATCACAAACATTATAAACACATTCAGTCATACATAGGTACATACATACTTACTTATATATTTGGTCCCAAATGTACTTACTATGTACTTACCAAAAAGAACTAAAAGTAAAAAAGAATCACAATAGAAATAAATGAAACAAAACAAATAATACAACATATATGTTTAATTTTCCAAAGTAAAACAAAATAATAAAAAAAAAATATTAATAATAAAATTTATTCAATAAAAATAAAAAGTAACAACATCAATTATTTTTTGCCTAAATTCCAACAAGCCTTATATTTTTAAAAGTATTTTTTATTTCTTTTGCAATTTTCATCCCCACTATAAAAATACTTTTTGAAACTACATCATAAATAGAAAAACAGCCATTGTCTTTGACATGTGCAAATTGGAGTCCTTTAAACATTATTTTGAGAATTATAAGAAGATGATAAGTACAAGTAGTAGGTACTTTGAGACAGATGTTTGATGAACCTACTTAAAATATCATTTATAAACCTATATGTTAAGACTTTGATATTTTTAGAGACTGCAAAATACATACAAAACTGCAGTCTCTAGAGAATGGTAAACATTTCAAGAAATGTTTCTATACAAAGGTTATTCAACACACTTAGTTCCTATTCATGAAAGAGTTTGTTAAATTATGGATTATTTTTAAATTATGTTATGATTATTATGGATTACAGTCTCCTCTAAAAGTCAAAGCCATTTCAGTCTCATTCTCTCTTCTACTAATTCTGAAGGGATTTAAATTATTTGTCAGCCATAGTCAGTTGTTGTAAATACTTTTTAGTTGATCCCCACTGTAGGCTTGCTCACAGGAGCAGAACTGGTCAGCCACCAGTCTTGTTTGATTGACATCCCAAAACAGCAAAAAAAAAAAAACAAAAATAAAATAAAATTATAAAACAAATATGCATTTATTATTTACGGATTATTAAATAAATTAAATGTTAATAAAATACACATACATTTTTGTAATAAGAACTTAAAGAGAGGGGACTCTTTAGACAGGAGATGGTTGGCTTAGTATGTTGATAGGTAGCTCCAGCGGTGGAGCTAGTATTGTGCTGTAATACTGGTATGATGAAGATATCTGCCTACTCAGTACATGCCCAATGCCCAGTACTATGGTTACAATAAGTTAAGAACTGTCTGCCCTATCCAAGTATAAATAGTGAGCCAGTTCACTGAAACTTGAATAATAAATTACCCTAAAAACACCAATAACTAAATGCTTACCTCGTAAAAATCATCATCAGGGTTGAGTGGTCTCCTCGTGCCCAATGTGCTAGGCTGATTCTGTTCAGGGTTTCGGGCGGCCATCTTGGCAACAAGTAGGAAGGTACCTCAGCAAGACTATGGCCTAAGGGTTTGGGCCAAGATTTGGTGTATCCGCTTCCACCTAGGTACAAAACGAAACCCATTTTTATTGAATTAACTAATTTTCTTTGTATCCTGTGCGATGAGTAAGTTCACGAAACAAATACATACGGAATCGCGTTTAGATGAGAATACCTAGCGTTCCGAATGAAAACAGCTCGTTGCCATAAATTTTGGCATTATTAGAGAGAGTGCACGAAAGTAACGCGGTGAGGTCGATTACGAAGACTGAACTCACCAGTTTAAGTTGATCCCCGTTGCCCCTGTGCGCGCGCCGATCGCTGTTTAAGATGGGTCCAAAGCATCGCGCGACGCTGCTTCTCGCGGTTCTTAATGTTTTGGCCACCTTGTAACGCCAGCTATGAGTTGCGTTAGTAGCTGCGCATTACGGTGCCCTAGTTATTTCGGGTGCCGTCCTAGATACAACGAGGCCGAAATACTGTTTTCATAATAAGCAGCGTGTTTTATTCGATGGGGCCGCGATGGGCTACCCGGCGTCGCAAATACTGACTTGGATCGTTAACACCGCGTCACGTCCGCCGCGCAGCCGCTCGTGACATGCGCTTTGCAGCGTTTGCCGGACCAATCTCAGCACTTCCCTCGCTGAAAATTATATCGATCGAAAAATGGCGGCGGTCTCCCTTTTATCCTTTACTACCGAAAAATGGGATCTACATTTTATTAGTTAACCTAATATTATGTTCATATCCTATTGTGATAGATGGAGGTGTGTCTATACGTCGCGCTCTTTGTCCCTTTTATTCCTATCATGCAACTTAGTAACTTCATTTACAATATTATTTTCATAATAAATTATTGTTAATATTTTATTTTTATAACTAAAATAATTAACTTTTGAATTATTATTTAAAAAAAATCCCAAATATTTTAATATTGTTTCGCGTGTTTTTTATTTTTAACAAGGGAAATATTATTATGTATATGGTAATTTGGTAAACCTTTTTAGGAATGTGTGGCCTGCTAACAAAATGTATATTCCAGGTCATATTTTTATTTATTAGGAAGTTATTGTAGACGCACATCCCGAGGTAGAGCAGTATAGTATAGTAGCTAGAGCTGGTAGCACGCAGCGAGCCGCGCGCCGGCCTCGAGGTTTGGGCCCGCGGAGCCCAAGGAGAAGGGGAGGTGATATGCCATTTAGTCCAAAGTAAGCCAAGGCCGGTCTGGTGGGGATAACGCTTACACGTGTGACCTACATAGACGCCGAGGGGCTACGGAAACGCACGACGGAGCACGACGAGCGCGCGGCCCGTCACCAAGTGCCGAGCCAACTGATCAATATCGACACTATCACGACCACATATTTACTCTAAGCCGCTCTAAGACTGTAGCGTTTTTCTCACTGTCCGCTTTAACGCTACGCCAGTCGCCATCTCAAACCCAACCAGCGTACTTTCTTTGTTACTGCACGTGAATTACAACACGTGTCTATACTACGGTCACTGACCTCGTAATTTATTTGCATAGGAGCCACCGAATCCATCCTCCCACGACCGCGGTTCACCAATTTTCCACTTTATCACTATTTAATACGTCACTAGCTGCTCCGTAGGCACAGACTTAGTGCTCAACGGTGCAGTACTAGAAGAGTACTCATACAAATGTGCGTGCCCCCCTAAGGTAGGCAGTTGCCCACAGTTGATAAAAGGTGGCGCACGGCAGCCCGGAGTGCATCGATCGCGATTACATCACCACCCGCGTCCTTTCTCTGCGCGCGCAGCACGCCCCGTGCCCCCCTCCCCGGCCCCCGAGCCTCGTCCCTCTCGCAGCAAACGCCATGGCTCTCCGCTACGTGCCGCCATTCGGACTGTGGTCGTCGTCGACATCGGTCGTGCTCTTGGAACTCTCTATACCACAGTGGAAGTTTAACTTTAGTTCAACATTTTCAAACTTAGTTTTTGTTCGTGCAATGTGAGGCGCGGTAACATTAACTGGAAATAGGGACTTGTAGTGATCGTAAATCAACTTTAAAGTGAATAAAAATATTTTATCTCGGTTTTAAAATTTTGTGAGATGTCCGCGACCTACTTTTGCAACTTCCGTATAGTCGAGTTTCAACTTCGCGTTTTTTCTCAATCGTTTAAAAAGTTACAAGATTAGAAAATTCGGTCCGCGTTCGGCAGTGCGCTTTTATAGAACAATTACTAATAGTTTTTCTTTTGCTTTGTCATGTGACTCGCGTCTCGCAGTAGCAGTTCGCGCACGTGTCGCGTTTACGTTTAATATTTTAATTACAGTTGGTGCTGAACATTGCTGAAAATGAAGACTTGAAGACGGAAAAATAATATGCCAGTTGTGTCGGGGGGAGGAATTGACTCGACTTTTTAAATACAAGTCAGTCTTTTTCTCTCTCCTATATGACTGGCGTACAGTCATCAGTATCATCTACATGCTGCGCCTGAGTACATCGTCGCTCGCTCCAAGCTTGGCAATGTCCGCAGTGACGTCAGGGATTACGCAAGCTGTTATTTGAATCGGCTGCGAAATCACTGAATTTTCTGCTTGAGACAAGGCCGTTTTTAGAAGATCTTTATGACTTTAACTGTATTTTTTATTTTGTACAACATATATCTATGTCTTTTGCTTTAGGTATCTATGTCGTAACAGTTCGGTTTGAGTCATTGCACCGAATGACGAAATCGAAATAATCGTCGGCGCGGCACGCTCGTGGCGGGAATTGGGCAATCTGCGAGCGAACGGATGTCTTGCCCCGCAGGGCGCACTCCGCACCGGCCCCGCTGCCTAAAATTTAAACTTGCTCGAAGACGCAACTTAACGGTCTCTGATAAATTTTAAACATGTTAAATTTTCCTTTTTGTTACAGTAACTGCATCACTGCGAGGCGTCCGCGACGTCGAGCGGTGGCCTCTATTTCTATAACCTACTCGCCAATTGCGATTGATGTTTAGCTATTTGTCACTATGCTCTCTATGTACTATGCATTGCGATTTAATAAACTGTTTATATTGAACATTTACTTGTTTTTACTGTTACTTACTTTGTTGAAATTATTCTTTTTGACCCCATACACTGAACATGGTATAGAAAATAATTTAATAAATAGATAGAATATACACGAACACACAGAACTCTTTAAATTTACACAAAACAGTTACAAAGTTTGTGGGTGGCTCCACCTGGGACCGCCCTCAATGGATGCGGCCCAATAGCGAGCCGTATCCTTGTCCTTGATAACCTTTAAGGGTTCCGTAAAACCTCACTGTCAGACAGCTTAGAAAAAAAACACAACAGCTAAGCGAATGAATAATAGTCTTATGAATTATGCCGCTACTATCAGCAAGGAACAATATAAATGACCGTTATTGGTAAAATGCTAAAAGCGAATTTGATCTGCCATACTTACGTTCCCAAATTGTGAAAATTGAATCAAGTAAATCGAAATTGGTGACCAAAAATTTACATCTCTACTCACAGAACTCACGGATACTAATGTACGGCTAACGTAATGTATGTGAGATTATTATGACGAAGTAACGCTACATAAAGTCACATCGATGATAAAAAACCAGATCAAAGTATGCAATAAAATTAATACAGTAATTAATATTAAATTGATTTTAAACAATCTTAAGTTTAATAACAAAATCGATCATTGAACCAAGACACGGGTCGATGATAACGGTAATACCATTTTTTATACCTACCTTGATAACCTAAATTCGTGAATAAGACAGGAAATTGAACCGTAGTCAGATAGTCAGAAAAGCATATGTTATTAGGCGTACACCTTATACGGATAATGATGTATATAATAAAAGGGTAGAGCGCTATACTCAAAATCGTATGTTCCAAAGCGATCAGAGGTGGGTGTACAGAGACTGGGAACGGTCCAGCCAAGATGTGGTTAACGGACAGCGTCCGGACGATGAAACTACTAACTCGTTTTGGCGCAACATCTGGTCGGTGCCTGTTAACCACACGGAGGCTGACTGGATGTGCGATGTTAAGCGGGAGTGTGAAACTTTACCAGAGATGGAGAAGGTAGTCATTACCTCCTCTGATGTAGCCAATGCAGCCTGTTCGGTCCCCAATTGGAAATCACCGGGGCCGGACGGAGTGCATAACTTTTGGCTGAAATCGTTCACCAGTTCACACGATCGCTTAGCGTCGCAGTTTCAGATGGCCTTAGAAGCTGGATCGTTGCCTCAGTTTCTGACTACAGGAATTACCCACCTGCTCCATAAATCAGGTAGTTACACTGAACCCAAAAATTATAGACCGATTACGTGTTTACCAACGGTCTATAAACTTTTTACATCCATTTTGAGAGCAAAAATAACAAAACATATAGAAAAAAATTCCATCATGTCTGTCTCTCAGAATGGATGTAGAAAGGGTTCACGTGGAACTAAGGAGCTACTCCTCATTGATATGGTCATTAGCCAGCAGGTTCGTCGATCTCGAAAGGATTTGTCTACATGCTGGATAGATTATAAAAAGGCTTATGACTCCGTACCACATACATGGCTTATGAGGGTGCTGGAGTTGTATAAAATTAATACAACTCTGCGCACCTTCTTACAGTCATGTATGAGGCAGTGGAGCACGGTGCTTTCCTACCCAGGATGTAAGCAAATCCAAAGGAGTGAAGAACCTGTAAGAATAGTGCGAGGAATATTCCAGGGTGATAGTCTGAGCCCACTGTGGTTCTGCTTGGCCTTGAATCCTCTCAGTACTTTACTTGAGGCTTCAGGGCTGGGCTATCATTTGCGGAGAAAAGGTCACGTTATTTCCCACTTACTTTACATGGATGACCTCAAGTTGTTTGCACCAAACAAGGAGGAGCTGATGGAACTACTAAAAATAACAAAAAATTTTAGTAGTTCCATCAGAATGGAGTTTGGTGTTGATAAGTGTGCGGTCATGCATGTAAAGCGAGGCGGTATAGTGGAATCTGAAAGCCTAGAGCTGTCAGATTTCACAAAACTGAGATCACTCTCCGCAAATGATACCTACAAGTATTTGGGTATGTCGGAAGGATTGGGTATTAATGGGCCGCACATGAAACAATCCTTACAGGAGCGCTTCTTTGGCCGCCTGAATAAGGTACTGAAAAGTTCGTTATCAGGCGGCAACAAAGTGCGAGCCTTTAACGGTTGGGTCATGCCGGTCCTGATGTATTCTTTTGGCATACTCAAATGGACTCAGACTGAACTTGACACCCTGGATAGACGAGTCCGGACGCTGCTGACTGCAAATCGAATGCATCACCCTCGTTCATCAGTCATGAGGTTGTACATCCCGCGGAAGCGTGGGGGTCGAGGCTTTCTAAACGCTAAGACCCTTCACAACCGTGAGGTGTGCAATCTCAGAGAACATTTCCTGAAAGTGGACGAGGATATGCATCGAGAAGTAGTCACAGTGGACAAGGGATTCACACCACTATCCTTGGCTAAAGAGAACTGGTGCAAACCCGTAGTACTGAGCGTCAATGACCGCAAGGCGGTATGGAGTAGCAAGGAGCTTCACGGACGCTTTTTCCGGGCTCTCCACGGGCCCGATGTAGATTTTCTAGCGTCCGTAGCTTGGCTACGATTCAGTAACCTCTTCGGAGAAACTGAAGGATTTGTATGTGCAATTATGGACGAAGTTATCCTCACGAATAACTACCGGAAATTTATTATGAAGGATGGGACGGTTGACATATGTCGGGCATGTCATAACCCCGGTGAATCCATCAGACATATTATTTCCGGCTGTGGTCGTTTGGCTAATGGCGAATACTTGCACAGACATAATCAGGTGGCCAAGATTATTCATCAGCAACTTGCTTTGAAATACCGGCTTGTTGAGTCTGAGGTTCCGTACTACAAGTATGTGCCCGACCCAGTTCTCGAAAAAGACCATATCACATTGTACTGGGATCGGTCTATCATCACAGACAGGACTATTGTAGCCAATAAGCCTGACATAGTGGTGGTAGACCGACTAGCGCGTCGCACGACGATAATCGATGTTGCCATTCCTCATGACGAGAACCTCGTGAAAGCTGAGAAAGATAAACAATTGAAATATCTTGACTTAGCTCACGAGGTTGTTGACATGTGGAGTGTGGACTCGGCTATCGTTGTGCCGATAGTTGTGTCGGCAAATGGGTTAGTCCCCAAAAGCCTCGACAACCACCTTAAGAGGCTGACGTTAGGCGGATGGATCAAGGGCCTCATACAGAAGGCAGTCCTCCTTGAAACGGCACGTATTGTGAGGAGGTTCCTGTCTCTGGAGCCCTAACTACCGGTAGCTTGGACCTTGCTCCCGCTGCCGGCTGGCTCCTACTTTTATATTTTTAAATATTATTTTATTTTATTTTATAGTAATATTTAAAAATGTAATTTTAGAGTAATTTTAATATATAATAATAATAATAATGACCACATTGATAACAGAACAAACCAAACTGTCAGTTATTTACTAAAATATTTCAAACATAACGTCGGAGGAATTTTATGGAAGTTAGAGACACGTGATTAATCAAATGAACTAAGTTTATACATTTAGGGTTGGTAGAAAGAAAGAAATACAAAATAATATAAATAGAACCGAAACGAATTTGAAATGTAATAGGATTGCATCAACGCAAATGGGAGTATTCATAAAACAGGATGAACGTAAAAGGCATATAATATTCATTGGAAATGTACGCAGTATAAACAGTTCTAAGAAAGTATTTACGAAGTACACTGATGTTATTAAAAATCTGCCCATAAGTATAAAATGTTACCAATTCCTAGAGCGCAAAATAAGTGATAAAAATACTAATAAAATTGGCTTTTTGAAATGGCTGAAACTTACATTCAGTCAGGTATACATACATATACAATGCAGTAATGTCACAAAAGGATAAATAATACAAGAAAGTATGAACATAAACAAACACGTGTGTTGTTGATCAGAAACTGCTGCACCGAATTAGATGAAATATTGTTGCTACTTAGTTCAGGAAATATTAAAATTGACACTAAAATATTTTAGACCAGCGGTCGATGACCCGATAGGTTTTATAAACTAAGATAAAATATTTTAATTAGACTAAACAACTAACTGTACATATGCTAACTAATAAATAAGAACAAACCTACTTGTGCCAGTATTCACCAATTTGGACAAAAGACAACATTTTTTCGATTTTGAACTTCGATTCGTTGCTTTACAAGCACTTTCTAATTACTTTTGAAGTAGCCATTCCAGCTTCAAAGGCTTTAGTTTCACACAATAGATAATTTATCATAAAAAATAATCATTTTATTTAAATACTGCGAAGTTGATATTTTAATAATTATTTTGATCATAGGGATATCACATCATCGTAAATTGGTATGGTACTTCAATGGTAATAAAAAACTGGGCAACTAAAAATTGAAACAACAATGAGGAAATCACTTCAGTAAATAAACGATAAATTCAATAATTATAAAATAATAACATGCAACCACGCACAAAATAATAAAATCTTAGCAACATCAGGGTGTGGGTACAAGCCGATTTGATAGCAATGGAATATTAATTAACATTAATATTATGGCAATTCGTGTCTAAATTTTATATCTGAAGAAGCCATCATTTAAGTGTAAGTACTCTAAGTATGATCTCTTTATCGTTAATTTTAAAGAATCATCTTTCGAAAATTTATAAATAAAAGTAGCTGACCCGGCTGCCGTTGTTATGCTATATACATTATTTATTAATTAGAGGCATGAAAGATGGCTAGTAGCCGATTCTGGGACCTAATAAATATGCATATAAAATTTGGTAAAAATCAGTAAAGTCGTTTCGGAGGAATAAGGTAATTCTAACATTGTGACACGAGAATTGTATATTCAATATTGTCTGTACTTCAAAATTATCTGTATGGACTCATCTTCAATATTGTCTTCGCGTATGTTTCGTCTGCCAAATGGGTATATCGAACCGATTAAAGGAGCTAATTCATCCAAATATTGTTAAGAATATCACTTTAAAATTGGATACACTTACTCAGTTATGAAATTATCTAGCTGATATATCTTATCAGAAAACTAAAATAGGTCATTGAAGTTTAAAAAGTGT